TATATATATATATATATATATATATATATATATATATATCTGCAGCTCAGGATTTCAAGAAAAAAACACAGGATTGGATCAGCCCTGTATGACGTGATAGACCGATTTGAATACAAGAGTATATATATACACATACATATACTGTATATATATATATACAACTAACTTCTTCAACTGCGGCTGATCCAGGTCAGTGTTTACACGCTGTATTGTGCGGGCTGTGCAGGCACGTAGGAATTAAAAAGTTGGGCAAAAGGTACTTGTTTTGATACCATAGGTCAATTCGAACATCGCACAATATAATCTGGGTAGGAAGGTTACTGGCGAATGCTTTCTCTTCTATAAAACCTACATGTAACGGTAGGGCCTAGCCTACTAAAATACAAGAAACATTGGGGTTTCCCCAACAAGAAAAATAATTAAATTTAGGCCTTTATTATAAACATTTCTTCGTGAACTGTCACCTAGCGTAGGCTAGCGTTTTACAACCAGGCTACTACTATTATAAATATAGGCCTAGGCCTACATAGCCTAGGTACGGTAGGGACACTGAACAAGTTTTGAAGTTGTTTAAATCACGATCAAATTCCAAATTTCGCTGAACGCGTTTAACATTTGCCATTCACGAGCAGTCAGCCATATGAAAAGGGAGAAGTTAACTTCCAAACGGAATAAACGGCTCGAACGACAAGCTTCCAAACGGCATTTCACAGACGCCTTTGGTAGCTTGTCATATAACAATAGTAAACGTGTTTGACCCGTTTCTGTCGTTGGGGATAATTTGTAGATCACGCCTTAGGCAACTGGATTCGGCAAACTCGGTTCGGCAAACTGGGTTTCGGCCAACTGGGATTCATTGTTTTGAGTCGGCAAACTGGCCCTCGGCAAAATGAGATTCGGCAAAGTGGTCTCGGCAATCTGGCATTCGGCAAACTGGATTTTGACCATCTGGCCTAGATCCAGAATAAGATGAGCGTGGCAATGATCGTTTTTGGCAATCCATGGCCAGTGTGGTGTTGTGTCACTTGTTTGTGTGTTGTATTGTGGTTACAAACCGAGGCCTAAGCCTAGCTAGGGCTAGGCCTAGGATAGTCCTCCTAGGGAGGGGCCTATATCCTAGTTAGGTTAAGAGAGCCTAAAAAATCGAAAGGTTGGGTCATTCCGTGTCAAATCAACCAGATTTCAAAAAAGTTCCAGTATGACCCTCTCAGATTTTGTCCATATGAGTGAGTGTATACATCTTAAATTACAGATATATTATCTATGGGTAGATGTCTCTAGCCACAAGCAAGCACGGGCTGATCAAATGAATTAAAATGGAATGGCATCCATTCAAAGTTGGGACAAGCCCTAAAAAAGTGAAAAAAGCCTATGTTTCCCATTAACGGTTTGTCATGTGGACAGTTAAAAATTTTTCTTAAATTTACACCAGTTAACCAGATATATTAGATCTACTTATACACCAAATTTCAGCTTTGGTACTCAGCTCCTTCATGGTTAGATACTATGTTGAAAACTACACATATTTTAACATAATCAGAAATAACTAAATTTTTTAAGAGTTGGGTAATTCCATGCCATGGGATCATAGATATTTAAATTTTTTTATACTGACAGTTATTCATGTGAATTGAAAAACCTGACTCCAATTCCTGTTTGTTTTCCCGTAGCGGCAGTTTGATGTAAAAGGGGCGTGGCACAAATTAGTGCACTGTGAAATTAACTTTGATTTTCATATGCTAATATCTGGAAGTACAGCGCCTATAACCTTCAGATTTTGTGGTGTAGGACATCTTTTACTACTGATTCCAAATCTGCAATCTGAAAAGTTGTTGGAATAACTGTGTATATAAGTATATAAGTAATACTGGTGGGTTAGGATTCCTAAAAATTTGGAGATTACAAAAGATTTATTATATATCCAGTAGGGCTAATCTTTTGTGTGTGTTGATTTTTCACATAGTGGATCATTTTTAAGAAGTTTCATAAAAATCGGAGACGGTCGACCTGGGACCTCTGGTTGATTTGACAGGGAATTACCCTGTTGGAAAGTTAACAGGTAAACTATTGGCTAAGCTCATAATTTGGAATATTAATAATGTAATATATTGTACTCACATTTCAATGAAAATCATGTTATGTTGTTTTTGCTTTCCATTGATTGCCAGCACTGTGAGACTCTCATCTCCCTGTCAAGAATTATTCACACGGTTGTTTGTTGACCCACACAGTGACACAGCAGACCTGGTCACCGACACAATGTGTGTCGGTCATAAGTATATTACTACGCGTGTGATATAATTAACTGGAATGTATTGCGGAGATAATTATAAATAAATGAAAATTATAGCAATACAAAATATTAATAACATATAAATATTGAGAAAGACATAGTGGCTTATATCTGTGACAAAACACTGAAAGAGGCATCCTTCTGAAATGGCATTGTGAAAAAGAGCCGGCCGGGACTAATTTAAATCAGTTTTTATTAATTATTAATAAATGACGCGATTTTGGAAAACACCACATAGCCTATTACCTGCCCTGCAGTACAAAACAGTAGCAAAAGAGAAAATCCCGGACACACAAACCCAACCCGGGGCCAGAGGGGGTTTGGGGTTACACCCCAGTTAGGTCATTTAATCACTAGATAGCCCCCTATACTACAGAACAGGGGCAGCTGCATGTATTTCCAGGCTAAAGTGTTTTTAGTGTGATGTTTTTTCTCACACTACTACTATGGTACCGATTATTTGACTGCTAAATAATAGTGAGTCTTTCCACACCCCACCCTCTCCCCTCCAGCAAAAAAGGATCTGCTATTGTAGAGCTTAATAGGCCTATTAATCAAATAAATAAAGTAAAAACAATAGAATCTATGCTGTATTTTAAAATTGTCCATCTGCACCACATCTCCCAAGCCCTCGCTTAAGCTAGTATTTGTTGTGCACGTAGGTTTACCTTACAGATATAGCCCTGGCCCATAGCCTAAGTAGGCCCCTGGCGTTACCAGGCTTCTGGCCTAGCACAGGCCCCTGGCTTAACCTAGGCTCCTGGCTTAACCTAGGCTCCTAGCCTACCTAGGCTCTTAGTATCAATTCAGAATCTGAATATACCAATACGACAATATTCAAATCTAACTGATTAATTTTATAATGAATTTTATGCAACAGAAATTCATTGCTTACCGATTAGCCCACCGTACTGCACTGGAGGTCCTATCTTACTCAAGTAGGCCTACATTAAGTATTTGAATTTATAAAACTATCAACGTCTCATACTTCTAGCACTTACTAATAACTTACTAACCCTAGAGCCTATCTTCACAATGAACACAGGTAACAGGATTTCTTGCGGTACGCGTACCTTCTTATTTGTCTATTGAAAAATAGGGTAATTGAGGGCGCCATTCTAATACCCTTTTTATGAAGCACCAACTAGGTGACTTATATTGTAAAGTCACCTAGTATTTTATATATATATATATACTGTCTCTTATACACATCTAGATGTGTATAAGAGACAGATGCAGGACTTGAGGCTGTTTTCCACTAGAGAATTTTTTTTGCGAGACTCAAAGATTTTTTGCACATTATTTTTTACTACATGAGTGAAAGTATTTGTGATACATATTTTTTCGCAAATATTGAAGCCGCATTACTAAGACAGGTTGGTATGCCATGGTGACGGTATATTTTTTTTATTCACTCTGTGCCCATGCTGTCTCTTATACACATCTAGATGTGTATAAGAGACAGGTATAGGCCTACTGCCAGCTAAAAATTCCATGCTCCTAGAGGGCACTATAGCTGATACTGTTCATGTCTACTGCATTATTGAAACATCATAATAATAATAATAATTTTGGCTTATATAGCGCATTATGCTAAAGCCTCAATACGCTTAACAATAAAAAATAAAAATGCTAGGAGAAATTTAAGAAAAGTACATGTTAAAAAGGTGAGTTTTTAAAGCTGCCTTAAAATCAACAATGGAGGTTGCCTGTCGGATTGTAATAGGCAAAGCATTCCACAGGAAGACAGAAGCCCAAGAAAAAGAACGATTGCCATAATGCTTTGTTGAGGCGCTAATAGAATGAGCAAGTAGAGACTCTGAACTAGATCTCAGAGACCTCTAAGGATGAATTAGATGTGAACATTGATCTTTATTATTATAATTGTGCAAACTTATGGAAAAATTTACCCAAGTGATTATCATTTGAGTCTTAAAGTAATTCATTCAGAAACAATACAACAATATTTCCTACGAAGAGTGATAAATTGAGAAATAGGATTGATCAGAAATTTTGTATATTTTTAAAATTTTTACTTAAATGCACTTTTCTTTAATTCTAGGACTGACTTCGCCGGTGAAATGTTAATCGCTCAGAAAAAAAAATATCTGTTAGGTCTGATTTTGCTAGATATAAAACAAATTGGAATATCTATTATTTAATTGCTTAGTTCCGTATTATATTCTTTATCATTAGGGTATTATTCAATCTTCATCATCGTCATCCTGTTTGTCACCTCATGGGGTGTTGGGTCGTCTCATTATTGTCCTCCGTCTGGGGCGATCCATTACTGCTTACAGGGGC